CGAAATATATATATATATATATATATATATATATAAATATCTTGAATTAAGCAACAAGGCATTGTGTGCGTGTTTTACTTACTCAAGTTGCTACAGACAAATTGTATGTGAAAATCGGGTCAAATTTATTCAAAAAACATACTAATTTCATGTATTATTGGGTATTTATTAAAAGATAAATGAGAATAAGAAATTTAATTAATCTTTATTATTATATGGTTATTAGTGGAAGCTAATCATGGTTTTGTTATAACTGTTTTGAATTTATCGTATTAAATTTATGCTGTTGTGTTATTTTAGGAATACTATATCGAAATAATGTTATATTGATCATTTTTGGAAATTAATATTCTAGGTTTAAAAATAGTTAAATATTTTTATTTTTTATAAAACAATAAAAAGGTCAAAACTCCAAATAAGATTATAATTAAATAATTTACTAATTTACTATGAATACGCAGTTTTTGTTTGATATGTAAATTCTACCACTTTTGCGTCTTCATAAAATTATTACTAGTATGTGGTGTTGACAATTTAGACATGCAGTGTTTTGTTTTATATGTAAATTCTCCCATTTTTGTCTACATATAATTATTGGGGTTTTTTTTTTTTTTTTTAATACAAGACCCAAAAGATCGATAAACTATCAAATCGTGGCCTGAAAGATTTCTTTTCTCAATTCGGGACTTAGATGTTATAAAACTATCAAATTAAGTCCTAGAATTAACAAAGCTCATAACACCATTAAATTGAGAGTTAAAAAAAAAATTGGTGTTTACTCACAAAATAATAAGTAAACATTTGCATAATATTTCAAAAAAAAAATAAATAAAAATAGACGATAACAAGAAAACCGAGCAAGAGCTTCACACTTTCCTTAATTTTCAGCAATCTCGTATTTTCCTTAACTTTCTTCATCTTTCTTTTTTTTCTTTACTTTGTAATAGATTTGATGTTTTAAAACTTCAAATTAACTCTCATTTTCATTTTCATGGTGTTATATGTTTTGTTAAATCTATGACATAATTTGTTAGCTTTAAAATATTTAGGTTGCGAATTGACAGAAAAAAAAAAAAACCTTTTAAGCCCCTATTTGATAGTTTACTATCTTTCAGGTCTTGTATTGAAAAAATTTTTTAATTTTTTTTGTACAGGGATCTTCCGGTTTCTGGATCCACAGGGGAACCGACTAATTTGAAATCGAGCCGGGTAGGACCACAAGGGCGGCAAAGCTCTCCCTCAAGAGTTTTAACACTGCTGCATTCCCAGGCTCGAAAAAATTCTTTATTGTTATTACTTGTATGTGGTGTTCCAAATTTAGAGAGATTTTGAGTGAGTTTATTTTTAGAATCATATGTAATCTCCAAGTAAAATGTTTTCATTGTATAAATATCGAAATCTTATGCTGTAATTTCCAAAATAAGTCTGATTTCCCTGATTTGATAAAAGAAACTGAATTAGCTTCTAACATTTTGGCAATTGCATTGATATAATTCGATTGGTCAAAACTCAAAATTAATCGAACATGATTGTTAAAACCAAGATCTTATCTTATTTGAAGAAAAAGTTGACAGCATAGATTTTTTTACCCGGATTAGCTCGACGGGTCGACTCGGGACCCGCCGTGGTCTGAGTGGACTGTTTGGACCGGGCAACAAAGAATCCAGTCAAACCCCACCAACCAAGGTTTAACTAGACATGGCCACGGGGCACCCGGTCCGCCGACCCGACCCGATCCTATTTCGTATGCCTTCAAAACCTCACTCAGCCCGGTCAAACTCGTTGACCACGGGTCTGGACCTGGCACAGATTTCAAACGGGTCTGTCAAAGGTCATGTTTTTTTTTTAACTTGACCCTGTGTGACGGGCCGGGTTCGTGTCGGCACGAAAAAGTACATTGCTTTTGAATTTTTTTCTCTTTTTTTTTTTTATTTTTCTATGTGGCCGGGTCATGAACCCTGGCACGACCCTAGGTTCGTGTCGGTTCAGGGTCGTCAAAACCCAACTTGGTGGCCCTGCGGGCCGGCCGGGTCGTGACCCGGCTCGGTTTTTTGCCATGTCTAGATTTAACTTAATTTAATCGTTGAACTGAATAATTAATTTTAAAATATAATTATATATTCACACCTTTTATCTTTTTTAATTAATAACATAAACGCTTTTTACGAAAGATAGACAAATAAAATGACACCGACATCAAATTACCCATGATTATATTTTCTCACATGAAAATTCGACGTAGTAGAGTTTCAATTTCATTATGCATCATCCTTAACGACTCGACCCGGTTTTTGGCCCTGTCTAGGTTTAACTAAATTTAATCGTTGAATTGAATAATTAATTTTAAAATATAATTATACTAGTACAATACCCGTGTATTACACGGGTGCTTGCTAATTTTTTTTTTAAAATCTAAAATTAATGAGAAAAAGTAGTGGAAAATTTAAATACCTTCTACAAAAATATATATATTATTATATATTTAGTATGACACTTTTTATTTGGGCGACTTACCTTTGTTATATTATAATAATTTTTTAACTTACAATATATAACTACATTAAAAATAAATATATCAATTAATAAATAATTTTATATTTTAATGAATTTTAATAAATATTATTATCTTTAATTATTATAATGATAAATAAAATTTATTTATTTCATATATACAATATGGATGTCAAATCGAAGATCATCAAAAGATGATTAATTTGATATATAATATATGTAAAACCGATAAGAAACACAAAAGTTATCAACTTTTAAAACACACTAGTATAGAGCCCGTGCGATGCACGAGACGACAATGATCAATCATATAATTTATAGAAGAATATTCATTAGCATAAAAATATAATTTATAAATAATTTGCTTTTTTATAATTTTCTTTTATTTTTAATGATACGTAATAATTTAAAATTTTAAAAGTCCATATAAGTATTGTTCAAAGTTTTTATTCACATAAAACTTTAACATTTTCACATCTAATAAATGCATAAATTCCTATTAAATCTCGTTGTTCATACTAATACCTTATTAGCATAAGATAAGTAGACTTAAAGTTACAAAATTGTGGTTAGATTTAAAATAACATTTATTGTGTAAATAAATTGAGTCTCTAAGATAAATTAATATATAGCGGGTGTAAGAATATTTATTTCAAAGTTATAGACCTTAATGATTTTCAATTTAAGACACTTATTAAATAGTTAAATTTTCCAATTTATAGTAATATATGTTATTTATTCTTGAAATAAATATTTACTTAACTTTTATATATTTTAGCATAAATTTTTTCTAACATGTGTAGTCAAATATATCAAAAGATTATTTTTGCTCAATAAATTTATTTAGTACTTATATAGTCATTTGTATGCGATTATAAGCCTATTAATTCTAGAAATTTAAAACGTTTTCGAAATATCAATTTCGGAAATTTATATTCTTAGTTGATACTGCCTTTTCGTTTTGTGTAAATAAAATTGACTATGAATTTGGAAATAATAAATATAACGTTTTATATCTAGTGAATATATCTCTTAAATCATATATCCGATCCCAAGTTTCTAGAATTTTATTATGAGAAACTATATCTTATTTTTGAAAACAAATCAAGAAATAAATCATAATTAAGAGACTAATGTCTATGAGTCTATGGGATGCCACCAATTAACCATGAAATATGATGCTAAAATACAACTGAAGAAAACTATACGTATAGAATTTTCTTTCGGTTTATCTTTATTTAATATCTGCGAATAAATCAAACAAAATGTAACATTCCATTCACCAACAACCTATCACAAAACTATTGTAAAATATATCTTGCATTGGTCAAAGATACCATGCCAAAAAATGTATGATATCTATGTTTAATAGTTCAAAAACATTTAGATGTCCAAAAAAGACATTAAAATAAACCCGAAATTGATATATTGATATCTTGATATCATGCCATGTTATAATAAAATGAAGGGAGTAATTTTTCAAAAATGAATTGGAAAATTTAAGATCAATAATATCGAAAAGATAAAAAAAAGGATAACAAATTTCCTCTGTTAAGAACTTTATTTTTCAGATTAAGTTTTTTTAAATACTATTTTTAGCTAATGCTTAGTACATTTTTATATTAATAGATATATAGATATTTCAACTTAAGAATATCCCTTAATTTAGTGATGCAATATTAATATATCTTTATCCATCCTCGTATTATAGGGGTCTATTCATACTTGTGTTATGTCGATTTGTATCAACATGATTTTTTAGAAATGTAAACCTTTTTAGAAAGTTATTATTTTAGATTTTCATATACTAAAAAAAAAATGGTCAATGTAAGGAAAAAGTTTATGTGAAACCAAAATGATTTTACAAAAGCGTAGTTTGTAGAAATGATATGTTAAACCCGTTTGGTTTTGATATGTCATGGATATTTGCTACAACTTTTCCTTACGAAAGCAAATTCGAGTTAATATGTTGTTGTAGTTTGTCCCAGTCAAAATATATTTCTATCTAATATGATGTAGATAACATTTTTCTTAAAAAAATGATATAAGCTAATTTGTTTTAATTTTTTCTGAGCTAATTAATAAAAAAATAATATGACCAGATTTCTTAAAAATGTGAATTGTCAGGTATCGAGCAATGGAAAATTTTATTGCAGAAATAAGGGCGAAACATTCATATCAAAATATTCATAACCTATGCACCCACATATAATATACACTCTCTTGATTTTAATCAATTCTCACAGTAAAAAACAAGATTTGTTTCACAAAGAAACCAAAGATAATTTACTTGATATTTTTCCCAATTTTTACAACTGAAATCTTGGTTTTGTATGTATGCTAATAATAATGCACACACTTTACACATTCACAAGAGGTGCGAAGTAGTCTTGTTAATGCAACTATAAAATAAACTATGTTCTTATAATCTATGTGCAAAAAGATTTCACTGGCAGATAAAACGAAATCTTAATAAAAAAAGGATGAGAACTACAAAGCTTCAAAAACCACATGTTATTGCTGCTAAGCTGCAGGCTTTGAGCCCCAAGTACAGCGCACTCGTGACGAAGCAGAAGAAGAAGAAGAAGAAGAAGCTCTATCGATTCTCTTATGATGCTTTCAAAATGTAGAATCTGAAGTCAGAACTGAGCTTATGGCAGCTAGAGAACATACCTCCTGAGCTTAAAGCTTCCCATGCTCATGTATGTGTCATCCATTTCAAGGCCGAGCAAGGCTAATGGCCGAGCAAAGCCTTGGCTCGATATTGCATTCTCACAGCTTCAACATTTGTGGACCAAACATGTTGACTACCCTTATAGGTTCGTAAACAGCAAAAATATAATGGAATCTTAGAGAATATTTACAATGAAAAGCAAACATTTTGAATTTTTTATTTTATTTTTTTTAACCGTTAAAGGAGAGCGCAAGGGAAACTAATGTGAAGTCCTGCAAAAAATATTTAGTGACCTGAACAGATAACAATGACAACCACAGGCTTTAAAATTTGGAACTCCTGATAGCTTCTGATTATTAGAATATAACAATTTATTAGTTTGTTTTATATTTCTTAAAACCACAAGCGATTAATTTCTTAAACACTGATTACAGTCTTGACATTCCACTGATCAAGAATAAAATAGGAATTAAATAAAAAACCTAATTCTCACTGCCAAGATTATGATCCCTCCTAAGTCCTACCGTGAGGAAAGATTTCTGGATATTATCACAAGTATACAGATTCACATACAAGTGTATGATAACTATTACATGTTACAGTCTCTCTTGATTTCTATCTCCCTAAAACATCTCAACTGTTATTGACTACTATTATCATTGAAAATTGTCACCTTTTCTCATCCAGAACAGATGCATGTCTCTTGTGTTGAATCCGGTCAGAATAGTTAGCAAAGGCAGCTGAAAGGGCAGATTTTGCTTATAATATTCAACAATTGGCTCTGGCGATTGTCTGGTATCTAATCCCGTAAGCTCTTCAGGTAATAGAACTAATCTTTCGTAATTTGCGTTATGCATCAAGAATGTTACAAAAGCGATACATTGGAGATAAATCAAGAACTCTAATGAGGACCTAAGATTACCAAAATTTTCAATGCGCGAAGAACACTCAATTTTTTCTTATAGTCGATAGTTAAATATTTTAATATATTTGCTAAAAATATGGTTCATATTTGTTTTTTTCTCGAGTCCATTAAGTTATATGTGCATTACATTTACAACCACCTTGGAAAATTAATCATCTATAGACATTTAAATTTAGCATTATTAGATTGAAATCATGTTCTTTTGCCCCCATACAGTGCCAGTAAGTGATTATGCAGAAATTACCAACTTCGCGCATATCGGTTAAGATCCTAACCACAATTGCATCCCCTCATAATATCTAAATTACCAGTGAAAACACATTAACATGCTAAGAAACCCTTACTATTTACCGAGCAGTTCATAACCATAATCAAGAATCGAAAATAATTGCTACCAACCAGATACAATGTAACAAAACTTTCTCAGATCCGAAAGCCTAAAATCCAGAAATGTTAGCATTTGTAAGGTGACCTGAAATGGGATAGAGACCATGACAGATTCTCCAGTTTCACCATGAACCATCAGTCCCCTTTTTCGAAACTCTTCGGTCAGTTTATGCCTAAAGTCATTATTTCCATCTTGCACGAACAATAACAATTTTACCTTTTCACCATATCCACAAAAAACACATAAACACGCACAAAGCACAGTCAAAGTGCATAAAAAATAGGGCATACGAAGAGAAAGAACCAATTTTTACCCAATTTTTCTCCTCCACCGCCACAACGAACTCGTCGTCCATGTCATCCAGCGGCAGCGCTACACCCATCTTCTCCACCGTGAACACCCTATTCATTCTCTGCTCCATGTAGGTCGGCCACCCGATCATCGACATCCCGCGCATAACACCCTTTAGGATGGAGCTCCGGCCGCAGTGGGTTACGAATCCAGCCACCGCGTGTTCCAGTAGCACTCTATGCAATTTGCATATCAAACACAAATTATTTCTCA